TTCCTAATAAACAATCGTGGTACGAAGCTCAATAAAAATAAAAAAAATAAAAAAATAAAAATGTTAACAAGCCACAATAACATTGACAAATACATAGTTTAGGAAGAGCCTGCCTGAAACTATACAAAAAAGCAAATAAGCAAATGGATGTATAGAATTGACAACAACAACCACGCTGTCGAGTTTAAATAGCGGCAAATCAGCTGCACTTGATAGTAGTTGGTTGAATAAGGAAAATGAATTAGCAACAAGAGTTTACGGGATGTACATAGCTCAGTGGTTAACGCTACTGACTTTGAACATCGAATTCGCAGGTTCGATCCCTGCTGAAGTGGAGAAAAAAGATATCTGATGAGGAGATGTGGTGATCTCCGAAATAGTGCTATAACTTCTACCGCTTAGACTTTGTTGCTTTTTCAATTTTTCTTAATAAACAATCGTGGTACGAAGCTCAATAAAAATATTAAAAAAAAACAAAAATGTTAATAAGCCACAATAACACTGACTAACACTGATTTCGTTTGTTCCAAAAAATTTAGTTCTTCCATGGTGCAAAATGTGTTTGATGTTAAGCAGTGTATTGCTCAGCTTTGCGTTCAACATTTGCAATTTGTTCAACAACTCTACGCAGGGTTGCCCGGAAAAAAGTTGAATGGCTAAAAATATCAAAATATGAAAAAATATCGAAATATTCGCGTTTGCATTCAACGTCTGGTTGAGCGCCCCTTCAACTCATTGCTTCCAACGAAGTTGGTCGCCAGCTAACATTTAGCCATTCAACTTTTCTTTCGTGCAACCCTGCGTTTTACACTGTTTTACACTCAACCCTGTAAAAGTGCATGTTTTGCCTACTTATCCTTATCGGGCTCACGCATTTCAAAATATTGCCATTTTAAGCAATCTTTGCCATTTAGGCAACCATCTCCCTTGACCAAGCATCAAAGGGCAGAGGATGTGCCGTTTTTGCCTTATTCGAGTGCAATATTTGAAGCAACGAACACAGAATTTTCCTCTTCTACTAACTGTTCAGAAATATCGGTGTCGCTGTATCGCACAAGTGCTCTGCAATGACCAAGTATTTTAACACCTAATGGCCTGTATGCAGATCTCAAGAAAACGACATTTTTGATACTTCACAGCCTGTTGCCTCACTCTTTCCTCAAGAAATAATGGAACGGGCACATATTTCTGTTGCAAACCTGGGTTGCCTTGTGCTCTTTTTTCACAAAAAACTTTAGAAAACCGTAGTAGAAAGCGTAGCAAACTCCTTAAGAACTGCGTGCTGACTTAAGGAAATAATAAATAAATAAAATCTAAATCTATCTCAAATGTTGGTAAATAGTCCATATTTGGAAGAATAATAGAGGCACTTCAGAACTTTCACACAAAAATGTAACAATTCCCCTCTGCAATGAAGAATTGTTCACGGAGAAAAAGGCTTGAACCGACACTGCGGGCACAAAAATATGTAAACAGAGTACAATTTAGCACTTAAGCCAAAATTCCTTTCGCTATATCTTTGTAACGGTACTTCGTAGAACTTTGAAATTTTGACGCTGGTGCGTATGGTGGTAAGTAATCGATTTATGTTCGTTTACCCGTGTCATTGGTCGGTTTTACTATGCAAATACTCCACGGTGGGACGTAAAGTTACAGACATAATTTAAAAGGGGTAAAATTCAAATAAGTGACTTTATTATTATCGCAGATTAATTATATTATTATATTATATTAATTATATATACATACCTGTTAAATATTATTCTTTATATACTTTTTATAGTTTTAAAATATCCGAAATCGACGAGTTTGTTGAGGTCGACAATCAAAAGGCCTTCAGCTATATGTATATTTGGGACTGCGTAATATATGCGTGTGTCACATCGCCTCTTTTTGTACGGACAATTTATACTTCGTGGCTGTTTGAACATAAGTTTATAGAGGTAAGTAAATAAATAACTCTATGTAGTTATGAAAATATACTTTTCCCGAGACATCGGTCAGTCAAAAAAGTTTAGGTACATACAGTGTTTTATGCAATACGGTCAACTGTTTTCTAGTTATTTTATTTTTCGCAAACTTTTTATAAAAATATGGTTATTTCTACAACAAAAATCCCATAAATCAGAGTTCCCAACCTTGCGCAAAATTAAAGAAAATTCTGCAAATTTCCATGAAAATATTGCACTCTTTAGACTAAAGTATGCAGTTTTTTAGTACAGTAAAGTGCAAGTCTGAGGAAGCTAGGACTTACCATTAATTTTTGACAACTTTGTTTGTTGAAGGTGTCGCTCATATTCTCCATATAAAAAACATATCGAAGATTATTACTAAAATTAAATGGGCTAGAAACCTGCATACTACTTTTTTATACCCGAGCGCACTTGTGCACAACGGTATATTAATTTTGTTCACATAACGGTTGTTTGTAACAGCCAAAACGAATCGAGATAGATATAGACAAATGTATACATAAACGATCAGGATGAAAAAAGAAATCGATTAAGCCATGTCTGTCTGTCCGTCCGTCTGTCCGTCCGTCCGTGTACACGATAACTCGAGCAAAAATTGAGATATCTCAACGAAATTTGGTATGTAGGTTTCCCTTATTCCAAGGTAGGTTGGTATTGAAAATGGGCGAAATCGGACTGTAACCACGCCCACTTCCCATATAACGGTAATTTCCAGAAATACGAAAACTGCGATATTTTAGTAACTACTGAAGATAATTCACTCAAAATTGATATTTACAATAACTTTTAGACGAAAAATAAGAATATTATAAATTTTTGGAAAATGGGCGTAGCCACGCCCACTTATGGTTACATGTGTATATCTTGGTAACCGCTGCACCAATTTCTTCCAAACTTGGCACAGTTGTTGGCTTTGATACAGCATACTAAATGGCCGAAAAATTAAAAAATAGGACAATAACCACGCCTACATCCCATATAACGGTAATTTTCGGAAATACGAAAACTGCGATATTTTAGTAACTACTGAAGATTATTCACTCAAAATTAATATTTACAAAAATTTTTAGACGACAACTAAGAGTGTTATAAATTTTTGGAAAATGGGCGGAGCCACGCCCACTTATGGTTACATGTGTATATCTCGGGAGCCGCTGCACTAATTTCTTCCATACTTGGCACAGTTGTTTGCCTTGGTACAGCATAAAAAATCGCCGAAAATTTTTGAAATCGGACGATAACCACGCACACATCCCATATAACGGTAATTTAGAGAAATACAAAATCTTCGATAAATCAGTAAATATTGAAGCTAATTTATTCAAAATTGATGCTTGCCACAATTCTTTACCAAGAAATACGTTAATGGTACAATTTTGGAAAACGGGCGTGGCACCGCCCACTTATGATCACATATATGTATATCGGTAACCGTTCTACCAATTTGTACCAAACTCGGTGTGGTTATTGTGCTTGCCACATATTATTGAAATCGGACTAAAATTACGGCCGCTTTTCATATAACGGCAAATTTCAGAAATGCTTGAAACTTCAATATTTCGAAATTTAAGGTATCTAGCGGTAGGTTTCGGAAAGGTGAAAAAACATATATATTTAATACTTGCGCCGGGTATTTAATGTTCGGCTCCGCCCGAACTTAGACTTTTTTACTTGTTTCTAAATGGTATAATTAAAAAGTGCAATATTTTAAAGAAAAGGTTTTGAACACTTATTTTTAGGGCTTTTGTCGTAGAATTAACCACATTTTTAATAAAAAAGTTGTGAAAAACCAATTATTTATGAAATAGTTGCCCGTATTGCAAAAAACCAGATGTACCTGAACTTTATTGACTAACTCTATAGCATAAAATTGTAGTTTAACTCAGGATGAAAAATAGTGCACTCCCAGAATTTTCAGTTGGAGTTTTAACCAAAGACTCCCTGATTTAATATTCATAGGCAACTTTCTATTCTATAAGCAAATTTTTTTTATGTAAATGGGCTGAGTCTTGGTCAAATAAGACCAAATTAGCTTATTTCCTATGTTACATACATATGTACATATTAGGGCTGATGATACTCGGGTACACGATTGCCGGTTAAACGAAAAACACTCAGGTAATGCGACGTAAAGCTTCTTGTTTAATCTTTTTCGTGAGGATAAATATTTTTTCAGTGAGAAAATTTTCCTTTAATATTTTTTTTTTAAGTCTAGAATGTACACGACTATGTATTAGGGTGCCCGTCGAAAATGTTTTTTTTTTTGGAAATTTCAAGACCCTACACCCTTTATGTTATTCGTTTTTATGAGAAATATTATTACCTATTTTTATACATTTTCTAAAGGTCATTTAGAGGTTGCGACCTGTCGATTTATGTCTGAAAATACGATTTTGTAGATTTATGAGTTTTTAAATGACTATTTTTGATTCGATTTCAAAGATCGGATATGATCTGAGAAGAGGATACGTATATAGGCCTTTAAAATGGTATATAATATTCTATTGTTGGACTTGGCTTGTTGGGATTTTTATAGGGTAATTTAAAAAAAAAAACCCATATTTCTCTTAGTTTTTATAAATTTTGACCATCGATAACTTCCACAAATTCAAAATATTTGGTACTGTCCAAAATTAATTCTATTTCTAAATAAACTGATAGCTCATTTATTGCAATTGCGTAAAAATTGTCGAAGTTAGTTGTATACATCAATTTTGAATAAATATTGATGAACTCCTTAGCCACACTGCTCAACAAATCTGGAATTCCGGTACATATACACATATAAATTCACGCCGTATTTAAGAAAAGTCGCCTAAATTCGACAATTTTTACGCGAATTCAATAAATGAGGTATCAGTTTATTTCAAAATAGATTTAATTTTTGATAGTACTCCATATTTTGAAATTATAGAAATTATCAGTGTTCAAAATTTAAAAAAATTAAGAGAAATATGGGTATTTTTTTTAAATTTACCCGATAAAAAATATCAACTAAAAATGCCTTCTCAGATCATATTTGGTCTTTGAAATCGAATCAAAAATAGTCTTTCAAAAGCTCATAAATCTACAAAATCCTATTTTCTCGCATAAATCGGCCGGTCGCGACCTTTTAAAGACGTGTAAAAAATCTATAAAAATAGGCAATATTATTTCTCATAAAAACGAATAAAATTAGGGGGTAGGGTCTTGAAATTTCCAAATGAAGCATTTTCGATTGGCACCCAGCTATGTACACGTGACCGCTGTAACGGTTTCACATGGCTTGCGTTCCCGATCGCAGTGTGGCCCTGAAAAGCGGCATCTTTTTTCACTCACTGCACCTCCTTGACACTCGTCACCGTACCAGTTGTTCTTTCGGGCTCGCTGAAATCCGACTATTTCTTCGGCGGCGCACAGTGGGGCAAACAAGGTTGATGTGGATAAATCAATTTTGAGAGCCCAAATATGAACCGATTTCAAGTTTCTTTTTTTTTTAAGATAACTGAAATTCGCGTCGATCTATTCCTGGCAATATTTTAAGAAAGCTCCAGTTTTTGCTTATGTTGAAAAATTAATGAAAAATCATTTGTACGTTTGAATGCTTCCACTTTCTTAGAAAATACTTGAAATTAATTTCAAATGTCTGCAATTATTTAAAAAATTATTCGTAAACATTTTTCCATAGGACACATTTAATTAAAAAATATATTCAATTTGTTATCTTTACTAATATATATTTTGAAAGCCGTTTTTTCTGTTCGAAAAACTCGAGAACGACTGTACCGATATTTTTGAAATTTTGGACATCAAATCTAGACTCTCCAGGGATGATAATAGAAGAAAAATAATTTCGATATATCAAGGGGCGTGGCAGCTCACATACAAACTGAAGTTTTCACACAACATGTCCCTGGAAGCATACATCGTAGAGTGCTGCAGCTTAGTATAGAGATATATGTGGTGAATCGGTTATCCAATTAGAATAAGGTATAGAACGCGGTTTAATTTAGATGAATTCGCGTTTATTTAGAACCTTTTGAGTAAATGATAAATAGTTTTGATTGACAATGAATTTAATTTAATTAGAAAAAAGAGCACAGCTTGTCCATCGAAAAATGTGATTGAAATTTACGACAAATCTATTAGCTTTACATCTTCGTGTGCACGTCTTACTGCGCCAAAAAACCGCAAAACCCATCTTTTAAAGCCGTTACCGTTGATCGTTTTTCTTGCCAAGTGCAGAGTGGTATGTCGTTTGTAGTTTGTGGTTTGTGGAACCTTTGTTTGGGGGTTGCCAACTTCCCACATTCGGCCATCCTTTTAAGCGTTCGACCCGAATGCTTCGTCGTCTTGGTCGTCGATTTGAACCCACGGCTTTATATACTCGGCACAAGTTGATGTATTAATCGGACCGTCGGAATTGGTGACTTTACGAACTTCATAGGAGTTATTACCTTTTACTTTGGTTATTTGGTACGGTCCCAAAAATTTGGATTTCAGTTTAAGTCCGCTACCAAATTGAGTTCGTTTAATAGCAATTAAATCGCCGACTTTGTACTGATGTGCTGGCTTGCGTCTGCGGTTGTATGTTGTCCTATTTTCCCGCTGGACTTCTAGGATCTGCAACTTTGCCTGCTTTCGAAGGTCTTCACGCGTATTTATAAATGAAGAGGTAATTTCTTGTTGAATTAACTCGTGGATCTCATGATCTTCCTTTGTTCTCATCTTCGTGCGGAATAACAGTTCAAAAGGAGTTGTATTGATGCTTCTCGTGAATGTTGAATTAATTGCCTGTTGAACTTTATCTACGAATTTGTACCACTTCGTAGGGTCGCCACTGCTGAGTTTAGCCAATACTGAGATGACAATTGCGTTTAATCTCTCCACTTGTCCATTCATGCGTGGCAATCCGGTTGTTATTTGAACCAGCTAGATGTTTTCGTCGTTACAGTAAGCTTGAAAATCTGTTGAGGTAAAGGCCGTGCCTC